CAATCCGCTTCATAATCAGCAGATATTTAAATGATATCACATTGACCATATATGGGAACTATGTAAAACATGTTTGCACTCTTACTGAAAATAACGTTTTCACTTTCCTTTTTTATGAAATGCAGAAAAAAACGCCCAGTCATCAGATTCAACTCAATTGGCGCGGTCAGCTTCGTAATCAGCAGGTATTTAAACAATATCATGTTCCTTTATGAGCCACTTGTAAGGACTGTATGTCAAGACAAGTGTGGTGTTATGTTTAAAGCCAACCTATTACTCAAGAAACATTTTTTCGTATTTTTTATGAAAAGCAGATAAATATGCCCAGTCATCAATTCCTGCTCCATCAGCACAACTAGGCACACATTCAGCAGGTATATAAACGTTTCCACAGATCATAGGGACCTGTTTTAACACAAGTTAAATCAATTGATCAAATTTTTGTTCTTCCGTTATAAATAATAAGCTTTTCCTTTTCCGTCTTTTTTCGGCACTGCTGAGTGTCAAAAGGTCCAACCTTTGTCCACGACAGGCAAGACGATGTCAATATCACTGTGGGCTACCTGCACTCTGGGGGCTGGATGCTCCATGGTAAGCGAGGGCTAGGATGTGGTCAGCTGACTTGGGTTCGGCAAGGGAGGTGCTTGCATCTGTTGTTTGGGAGACTTGGACGAGAATCGAGTTTTGGCCTCATGTTTTTTTGTTCTTCCAAGATCACAGCTCGCGTTAGTAAAACTGGCCCATTGACCCTTTCAGTCCTAATATTTACTAACATGCCCTTTGTCCTTACCCTGTGTGAGATGGAAAAGATCACGTGATGGAATAACTCATGTGAGTATGAGTTTTTCTGTGAGTGTAAGTCATTCGAGCGATTGCAATTGATCGATCCATGATCGTGCAAGATAGAATAAAACTTTGTTTGATTTTGTGCTTGTTTTGAGCCTGGCAACATTTTGGCGACCCTGCCAGGATGGCTTGTTGGTGTAGAAGCTCGCAGAGGAAAACAGATGTCATTGAAGCATCGAGACACTGCTATAGTCTCATGAAATATGTTGTCAACTGAAGCATTTTGTTCTGTGTTTCTGTGCAAAGCAAATTTTCAAGGAACATGACGAAATCACAAAAATGGAGCAGTTAGCGGAACATGTGGGATTGAAATCCAAGGAGTTTAAAGGAAAAACGAAGCTTGCCATGTCAGGGACTATTCACGCTTGGGTTGAAAAAGAACTTCAGGAAAGCAACGGCAAGGTCGAATATTTTGGAGGAATGTTGAATTTTTTGTGAGAAATGCCACCACCACTTTAGGGAACGGGTAGTAGTGCGGATAAAAGCAAAGAGGCAGCGAAAGTGAAAACAGAATATGAAGCGCTAAGTAAACAACTCAAGGAGCACTTAAGTTGTACGAGAAGAAGATGGAAGAGGCTTCGATTGAACGGCTGCTGCAGTGCCAAATCAACCAGAAAGTAAAGTTGTTTCACTTTCTGATGTTAAAAAAATTTCCAGAGGGATTTTAAGATTCTTGGTGTAATTGGGGGAGAGGAGCAAAGGGATAGACTTTTCTTTGTCAGTCTAATTTGCCAGATTGATGCGGGGCTTGATAAAGAGTATAAAGAATGAGAGATCATTGATCATGATTGTCTTCCGGATTGCTGGATATTGTCTATCACCAAGGTCCCACTAGTCATCTGTTCGAGAAAGATTTTAGCCAAGCTTATCACTAACTGCATATTAACCATTGTGACTATCATCTCTGATCAATCAGTGGCCACTTTCTAGGCTTTGGGCGACCTCTCACATTCTCTAGGTCTAAGTACCTCACCCAATAAAGACTTGCCTCCCAGCACAAGGTTATAGAAGGACCCTCATGAACAGTTTTACTGACTACCTTACCGGAGATCTTTCTTGTTAGTATGTAAATTTTTGTTTAATCACTTACTATTAACACAAAGTCCCTCTCCAACTAAATCAGCCTGCTGGGTTGAAAATTTTTATGATGGAATTTGATTTTCCCCTACACATTTCAAGTGACATAATTGTATCTTCACAGCTATGGTTTTCCAACTAACATGCTTACTAGATAAGAGTAAGATTGGCCTTAAAGAATGTTTTAGTTTGGTCAAGAATTCTTTGTGGAGACTATGCTACTAAGTTTGCACCAGTTGCTAGATGCAGGGGATCTAGGTTCAACCCAATGACTTTACAGTGCTGAAGAGCAGAAAGAGTTTACATCATTGATTGAGAGGAAAGCTGTTGAGTGCACAGCTGAACTGCATGAGGTTCTTATTAATTGATAAAAATAATTATTCAATTCTACATGAACAAATGTCATGTAAACTTAAAGCATTGGGTGCACTTTGAATGTCTAGGGTCACAATAGTTGCAGACTCTGTAATACCTTTAATACTATGCGTATTAATACAAATCGGTACTCATGAATCCAATCTATCACTATTTCTGATATGTTCTTTGTGTATGTTTTTGTTTGCAATTTTGTGTCCCCCCCCCAAAATCCATACCTTTTGTGTTGTTAATGCCATCCCTGCACTTTATGCAACAGGAAATTATAGTTTGGAATACCTTGCCTTACTCTTAAGCATACTGATAATTACTTAGAGCAACGGGGGGTAGGGCTTTTGTCCAAAATGCCAGGCAGTGTACCCCAACTGCTGGAAACCAGAAAAGAGCACCAATTGTGACCACCACTTGGGAGGTTCCTTCGTGGCCAAGGTGCTGAAATTGTCTTGCCTGGTGGCAGTTCACATTCATGGTGGACTTTAGTCTGTGCAGACCAGCACCAGAGACAAAAGATGTTTTGTCTACAGAGAAGGTGACAACTGGATTTGCCTTTACACAGAATTCAAGGACATTTGCACCGTGTTTATACCTAGCAACCAGGCAGATGAATTCTCTTAACAGCACCTGAAGCGCGTGGCAGAGAATGTGGAAGCCAGTGGCATTTTTTCTCTCACATCAGACAAAATATCTTCCTACCCGTGTGATTCTGCTAAACAATTAGTGCTTATAACTGTCGCTGTCCCTGCAGGTCACGAGGCTGTGTATAGTCTCTGACTGTACTTGTGTTGTTCATTGTCCACCAAGTGCCACCTACACTCTTGGCTTATGCCACATGAAGGCTGAAAGTGGCAAGAATGGCAAATACCACAAGTGCTGAGGTAAAGGCTTTCTTGCTAAGGGAAAGCAGGAGAAATCTTGGGCCATCTGTGACCACCTCCATGTTCCGTAGTCACAACTACGTGAAACAGTTCAACAACTCACCGTGGCCACAGGGCTACACGGGAAAAATGAACAGTCAAGTGGTTCTGCACAGTAGCATGTTTAACCATAGTCGTAGTCTGTAGTCATCCTATCTTAAAGTCCCCAAGACTGCACAATACTGTTAATTCTTCAACAACATTAACAGTACCATCAACTTCAGTAGGCATCAACGTTACAATTGTATGCAAATGAGAAGTTACCATACAGGTACTCAAACACAAATTCTCAGGTCAGCAGCAAAAATGCTGCAACCCATCTTGTTCTTGATCCGGGCAGAGTTGGCCATCCACTTTTTAGGTTGTTGACGCATCTCGTTGACTCTGTGGCAATCCTTTGTAGTTAGGGCACAAGTGTCGCAAAATTAAGTCCCATGAGAAGTTAGTGCTTAAAGCAAGACACAGGTCTAAATATGTTGAGGGGATGTCGGCAAACATGACAAATGTTGTTGGCAACTTTGTGACCTACACCGGCACAATTCACGGGGGATTAACACACGTCACATACAATATTAGCATGGAAACGAGGCTACATCTTAAATCGTCTTTATTCCCTCTTATATGTCAATATTTCATCTACAAATTGTAAGAATAGCTTTACTCTTACATTACACACACTTAGCTGGAAATTGTGATCACGTGACCTAAAGCATGAAAACCAGGCTGAATTCTAAATGTGCTCTTTTTTCATATCTTATTTTAAAATATCACTGCAGAAGTAAGTTATAATGAAGGAGAAACATTCCATAGACTTTCTCACATCAAAAACTGAAACCTTCTAGCACTTTATCAGGTGATTAAAAGGCATGAAAATGAGGCTTTATCTTTAAATTACCTTTTTTTCCGTAATGCAAATTACCTTTACTCACATGTATCAACACAGATCATTTCAAGAGAAAAGAATAACAACTACCTAGACTTGTACACACTCTACAACCTTAAAACTGTGATCAATCGCCCCTTAGAAGGGCGATAAAGACATAAATCTCAAATACATGAATTGCCTTTATACCATCACTTGCATTATCATAGCTATTGCCCTTTTCATCATTGTCATCAATATATTCATCTCCATCATCTTCCTGCAAAGCATTTTCACAGGACTCGTCTTCATCAGAGCATGCGCAAAGTTCAGTGCAGGTTAGGCCAGTGCCCCTTTTGGCACTGGCACCTATTTATTGAGCATTGCTGCTTCCCAGAGCCACATTTCACCATCTCAATAATTGCCTCCGGAGCTGGTGGCGTTGTCGTCATCACAGGCAACCACTCGTTGCTGTCTTTCTTCCACCAATAGTTTTCTGGTGATGGGATATTTGGGTTTGGAACATTGTCGTTGTTACATACCATGGTCTGATAATGTGCTCGAAGAATGGCCTCACTTAAAGCACCTTGGGTTGGTGGTAATCTCTCCGATTGTGCTTGTTTCTTCTTAAATAAACCCAACCTTAGCTCATTCACCTGAAAAGTGCTTGTAATTGGCTGGTGTAGATGGCAGACAAACTTCTCAACCTACTTTATGGTATCTTCATCTGGGTGTTCTGTTGTTCCAAGGTTTGCGAGAGCAGTAATGACATCTTCATCAGCTCTACTGAAGACTTTTCAGCATGCCAATTTTCCTTTTCCTGAGAAGCTGCCCGTGTTATCAGCTCCACTCAAGGCATGAAAAGCAGGGAGGGCGGCTGCTTTAGCCAAACAAAGCGACTGGAAAATTGGCATTAAGCTTATCCTTCGATGTCTTTGGCCTGTACCAGTTACGAAGTAGGTGTTTTGGCAGAGCTCCGGATAGCATCTTAGGGACAACACATAGACATCTGTGTCTAGCGAGTGGATTGTCAGTATAGTTGCACCATTGGCAGAGGCATCAAGAGCATGCAAAAGTAACTTCGTGTCAGCCTCTTCCTGATTACTTTGGAGATACTCAGTTCTTTGATGAGTAGCTTCACATTGACATGCCCATGACACAACAAAACGTCCTCCATTTTGCACAGCATATTCCATAGACTTCTGCACCAGGTACACTGTTAGTTCCATCTTCGTATTTGAGTGAGACAGGAGTCGTTTCATGTTGACTTTGGCAATTTGAGTCGAGTCAGTGATGTGGTAATACACTGGGTCTGTGGTTCCTTGCATTTGAGCTCTGGTTGCAGTTTTCAGCGAAGAAGGTAAGTCATATCGGTCAAAAACTAATCGATTATAGCAACTGTCACTGTGGATGGAGCTGAGGAGGCAACGCTGTCGTCAGCCCTTGAAATGTCAAGTGATTCGCCAGTCTTCTCCAGAACACTCATCAGTGCGCTTTTCATTGAGCAATGAAACATTGTCCCATCATTTGCAAACAGAGAGTGGGATTGACTGAAAACTCATGCTGTCCGATAGCTTCTCTGATGTCGATTTCAGGAAGACTTTTGGAGACCATCATCAGTTGGGCAAATACGTTCCTGTCTTCCTGTAATTCCACATCTTTACAGACCTTATGCAACAGGACGGCCTGAAGGGGACGGCGACTTGTGTTTGCGTGAGGACTAGGTCGAGCATGTGAGCTATGACGTTGCCGTCCTGTACGTAAACAAACCTTATGCAACACAATGCAACGCCAGAGGACAACCCTAACCTGGCTACAACTTGCAAGTGCTTAATGTGCAGCAAAATCGGAACTTTCAGTGACTAAAATAGCGGTTTTTTAACAGCAAATGATGTGAACCTCAGTGCAGACAGCGAAGAACTTCTTTGGCTAACGAATGTTAATACAGACATAGGGGGAAAAAAGTAAACCTGTGGAGCGGATTTTGTGTATTTCAGTACAAAAATGGCACCTTTAGAGATGCAAGAGATGCACTTATGTTAGCAAACGGCATGACCCTCATAGACGATGAAGAACTGCTTCTCCTGTACAACTTGAATTCATCAAAGAACCTCGACTTACCGTACTGGAGATATGACAAATTCGATCTTGATACCTTGACAGACGCCGAATGCAAGAGCGAATTTCGGTTTCTCAAACATGACATCTACACTCTTCTTGAAGTGCTAAATCCCCCTGAGAAAATCGTTTGTGAAAACCGTTTTTACGTTTACAGTGATGAAGCTCTCTGGATGCTTTTAAGACGACTTGCATATCCATGTAGATACGAAGATTTGGTACCAAGATTTGGAAGGGCGGTGCTGCAAATCAGCATGGTTATGAATGAAATGATTAGTTTAATCTTTGCGCAACATGGTCATTTACTGACTGAATTTAACCAGCCATGGCTATCACCAGCAAATCTAGTAACGTTTGCAGATGCGGTTTATCGAAAGGGAGCAGCACTTGAAAACTACTGGGGATTCGTAGACGGTACCGTGCGACCAGTGTGTTGACCAGGAGTTCACCAGCGAGTTCTCTAATGGACACAAAAGGGTTCATTCCATTAAATTCCAGAGTGTTGTTGCTGCAAATCTATCAAATTAAACATCAAACAAGAAACACGTAAGTTCTTAGTGATGCTTAATACCCACACCAAAAGTTTTGCAAATAAAAAGATTTCGCGATACTGATTCCACTAGGCTTATCAGACCGGAATTTGAGGTTCATTTTATAAATTTGTATCACGGACTTGAGCATCAAAACAAATCACTCCAAAGTAGCGCTCGCAAATCCGGCTCATTAAATTGGCTTACTCGCAAGCAGAATACTCATACATGCCTTCTTTCTTCTGTTTTTGTTTAGTCTCGTTTTGTTTTCAAGTTTGGGAAAGCAACCTATTGTAATGCATTTCATTTTTCTCAAAAAATCAAAAACAAACCAGAGTGAATCAGAAAACTCACAAACTAAAACTTTGCCGAGACAGATTTAGTATCCCTCACAGACAGATTAAACTCAAAAAATACTTACAATAATTAAACCATTGCAAGAGGATACTGTGGATTAATTAATGTATGAGGTTTTCAACTCGACCCATAAAGAAAAGCTGCCATAAGTTGTTGGAACGATAGAGAATCAAAATAAAAACCCGCCTTTTATGGAGCAAGTACTGCTTGTTAAATGCAAATATGCTCTCAATTGTTAGACTCAAAAACAAACTTTTAACACGCAAAAATCTTATTTCTAAGGTTTGAAGGGTTTAGAACTAAAACACTGCCCCCTTTTTAACCAATGTTTTTTGAAGACAATGAGCTGAAGTGAAAGTTATTGAATGAAAGTACTCACGTTTTCCTCACGACCTCCAACAGCTTGTTTTCACATCGTGAACAGCAAGAGGACGGCAGTCGTAAACCGGAAATTACGTAAATATGCTGACGAATCAAGTTGTCACGCTGGTCACACAATGAGATTTTGCCGTCGTCTCCCCTCAACCGTCCTGTTGCGTAAGGTCCCTTTTGTCTTTAAGAGCCCCTCAGTTTCTTTCCATTGCTTCTCCATGTAAGAAGTTTTCTCTTTTTTTATTTTGGACGAGACGTTCACTTTGCCTGACTTCATCCGTTCATTCACAAAGGTCTCCAGCAGCTTTTTTCCAATCACACTTTGACCACAGAGATCATTTTAAAATTTATCACCAACAACCACTTTTTGTCACCAAGTTAAAAAGGTCGTCACTTTGTTCTGTTAACAGGTTGGTGAATCATTGGATTGTGCCTGTCAGCTGCTTGATATTACTTTCTTCGCATACCAATACAGCTGTGGTTAGATTATGATGTTCCTTTGTCTTCATTTGTCTGGACAGTCCAGCCATGTTCTTGGCTTCTTCAGCCAGCCTTGCTAGTTCTGGAGCAATTAGAAAGAACTTGTTATGTGCACTTGGGTTAGAGGTAATACCAATGAGGCCTCCATAAACTTTCATAGAACGATTTATGGGCTCCAGAGCATGATCAGCACCTAATGCACAAAATGATGTGTCGCTGTTCTTATTGACGACCCAATTTGGGACAACTTTGAGGAGTTGATATAGACCTAGTCTGAGCAAATCACTGAGGTAAAGTCGATTTATTTATCCTTAGTACGCACGTATTAATTAGTACAGTACCCGTTTGAAGTATCTTGAGAACTTGGCCAGCGTTTGGAGATGGAGTTTGCAGTCAACCGTTCTAAAAGCTCTGATGAATGTCAGCACCTCTGTTACCATGTGCATGTACCTACAAATCACTTTGAAGATAAAGCCTCGTTTTCATGCCTTTAATCACGTGATAAAATGGAAGGTTTCACTTTTTGATGTGATAAAGTCTATGAAATGTTTCTCCTTCATTAGAACTTTCTTTTGTAGTGGTATTTTAAAACAAAATGCAAAAAAGGTACATTTAGAGTTTAGCCTCGCTTTCATGCTTTAGGTCACGTGATCACAATTTCCAGCTAAAAGTGTGTGTAATGTAAGAGTAAAGCTATTCTTACAATTTGTAGATGAAATATTGACATATAAGAGAGAATAAAGACGATTTAAGATGTAGCCTCGTTTCCATGCTAATATTGTATGTGACCTGTTTTAATCCCCCGTGAATTGTGCCGGTGCAGGTCACAATGTTGCCGACAACATTTTTCATGTTGACTAAGGTCTCCTGAACGTATCTAGACCAATGGCTTGCTTTAAGCACAAACTTCCCACGGGAGTACACTTGCTCCCTGACTATTGAGTCAATCTAAGGTTCGCTGTGGTTGTCAGAGTAAAAGAATGTATCTCATCATTGTGTAAGGCGATGAATTATGTTTTTCCAACTGAGGAAGGTTGGTTATGCTTTACTTTTATATAAGCATGTTATCTTCTTTCTTAACCCATTAGGGGGCTGTGACAGATAATATCACAATCTATGGAACTACACCATTTTTTTTTCGTTGCTGTTCCGCACAGCCCACAACATTACTTTTACATGCATTGTACATTAGAGGTTCTAAAGAGCTTTCTACTAACCGTTTCTCTCATACCATTCTTCACAAATAACCAAAACTTTGCGTGATTGGCGTTTTCAGTCAGAAAATGCCTACATAACTGATGTTGGAGGCTATTTCATCAAATTAAGGATAGTGTTTATTAGTATATACCATACAAATAGTACTCTCTGGACATTCTGAATGGCTAGCCTAGAGGTCAATAGGAAGCACTATTCACCTCTGTGCAAACGTAGACAAACAGTATGGTTTCTACAATGAACAACCACATTCCAGATGTATGTTTTCCATATCAGTACTCTTTTCTCTGCTTTTATCAACACCACCTCCGTAACCTCTCTAGTAAAACTATCGTCCATCAGAGAAAACAACCTTTTCCTTTAATCAATGGTGACAGTTTTTCAATCCTCTTTTTGTTTGGCTGCAAGAATTTAAGTTACTCTTCAGAAGAACCACCAGCGACTCAGACACCTTCAAGCTATTTTTATTTGTAGTTGGCAATGGCTGCTCTCCCGACCTCGTTTTTCACTGGATTTTAACTGCTCAACAGTGGACTAGTAACAAAAAAGTTGAAAAATGTGCTTAACAACTGGACTTTCTACGCAAAAACATGAGCAGCAAACTACACATTTGGTTTCATTTTCATTTACACAATGAGGAATGGCTCTGCTTAAATGGACAAAAAAACGACTTACAACGAATTATTGACTGCTTTTTAAATTTTGAGATCACAACTAGTATTTCCTATAACAATTTTAATGTTTAAATTCCTATCTTATTTATTTACCTTATCCTTTATAAACTACCTTGTGTTTTATCTCCCAAAAATCGTTTTAGTTCGCCTTGCTAATTATGCTGACCTGCATGATGAAAATGGTGGCTGATGGTTCAATAAGCTGAAAGTACAGAAATCTTCTGATCACATTTAAGTAGGCAGACCATTTGCCAGTAATTTAGACCTTAGAACCTGACCAAACTGGTTTTTCTTGATGAGCCTTCTTTTTGCTGAAGAGTGCCATCAACAAGCACGTTTTGGAAGCCTCACACATTCATCAACAACCTGCTCGAGATTTATGCTGCATTGGTTACGTAATTCCATATTTATTCATTTACCAGGTATGTAAATTATAAACTAAAGTAATGCTCCATTTTCCTCTAATAACCTGGTATAAAATAAGTTCCTTAATTTCATTTTCATTTTTTTTTTTGGAATATAAAACTAATTGTCAAAGGCAAACCCACCTTCGTATAAGATATGCAAAAAAATGCCTATATC